AAATGGATCTGCACCATCCCACCAGAACAGGTCAGTATGCCAGACACACTGCTACACCTGCCAGACCAGAACATGCATCAGTAATTTGGGGGTGAAATTGCATAGTGAAAGAAAAAAGAGCCTCTATTTGTTACTTATCATCTGCACCTGCCATCGACTTACTCATGTATGTTAAATAACTTAGAGTTACATGCCTTTTTATGTTTGTCAAGCAAAACCATTAAATTTTTGAAGCCAGCAAGCCCTCCATTTTTCCTATTAGTATGGCACCTCACTTACTGAGGGGCCCTTTTCCAGCAGCCTTTGCTTTCATCTCCTCAAGTTTCTTTTGCTCCTCCTTCTGCTTTTGTTTAAATGCCAGATCTGTCTAAAGAAAAGAACAACAGTGGTTGTTAACATCTCCTCTCCCCCAAAAAATCAAAAACAACTGACAAGCAATGAGAAACAAAGGTAATGTTCCAACAGCAATAAAAATCTGACTGAACTGACACAAGACGTCTGAATACTACTAAATATGCACAACCTATGACAAAGTTTTTTTGTTGTACCAGAACACAATGACTAAACTTCAACTTTGTATGTTTGATCTTTCTGAAATTAAACACGTATCGTTTCCCATGGCATAATCTCATTCTGCCCTCTGAATGACACGTTTGCACTAAAAGCATTCATTAATATGCCACCAGTGATACTGGGAGCCTTGCACACAAGCGCTGTCTAACAATAAAACTTGGATTATGTAAGACATAAGGAAAAAAAAAAGGTTGGTTTTACCTAAAAAAAGCATTAATTAAAAAAAAAATCCTTCCATGCATGTCACTATTTTTTTCTGGGTTTAATACATTTGTATTAGTTCCAAGAAATCTCATGAGACCACTGGCAAATTGTACATGCAAGCCAGCTGTTGATCATCCCTGCTAGAACAGGCTCCAGAATTCACGAGAGCTCAGACATACTCCATCCCTTACATACATACCCTTCGTAGACATCAAGGCTGAACGGGACCACAGCCCTTTTCCCTGGCACTCAGGGTTTTGGGGTAACTAAACTGAGGACCTTGACAACTGAGATTCTAGAGATTCTTCTCCAACACAATTCATGGCTCAACTACATTTATAACCAGAAACTTTTGCTCTTTTTTAAGTTAAGGCTTCCCTTGCTGCAATGTAAGCCTATTACTTCCACTACCAACCCCACACAGCACAGAATATTCTGTTTCTCTCTCCAGATTTTCCACCGTTTTTTTTTTCTTGTAGATACATGTTCTTTCCTAGTAAACCAATTTCTCCCATTTATCCACTTTCGTGTTTGTTATTTTTTTTCTTGCAGTGTGCTGCAGTGCTGAGAGGAAAAGAACTGTTATATCATGTTTGACACAAGATTTTGTTTATACACCTTGTATGATTTCCTTCTTTTGCAACAACTGATTTTGCAGGTTCATGTTCAGTGGATGATCTAAATCTCAAATCCTTTCAGGTGAACCTGGAGTTTAGCCAGTCATTCTCCTTGTAATTTATATGTTGATTATTCTTACTGAAGAAAGGGATTTAGTGTACACGCTTAATTAAATCAATCTATTTTTTCAAACTTTCTCCAATTTGTTAAAATTACTTTGACCACTAGTCTTGTCCTCTGACAGTCTCTGGCCCCTCCAAATTTTGTTTTCTCCAAAGAGAACAAGCCACATCATCAGTAAGTTAGTCAACCAGCCCACCAAGGCACTAATCAAAATGTTACTTAGACTCTAATCGAAGACAAAAATCTTGCAAAACCCCTCTTGATATGTCCTTGCAGTCAGATGCTGAATTGTTAGCAACTGCTTTTAGAGTGTGGAATTCCAGCAAGCTGCATTCTCACCTTCCATCACCTTTTGTGGTCCAGTTCCTGCCTTGCATTTGAGAAGGTTACGTGAGGTAGCGTTAAGAACCTCATACCTACTGGTTTTCTCCTCAGACAGAGCACTGCCTTGACACACAACATGATTTCCTTTGCTGGCCAGTTTAACTAAAATCCATACTAGCTATTACTTTTTACATTATTACAACCTGGATGCTTGTAAACACTTAATTGGTCTTAACATTTCTCTAACAATAAAACTTACTTACAAAGCTTTTCCCACCTTTTCAGAGAGACATCATATTTGTCTTTTTCCAATCACCAGTGCCTCATCCACCCTCCACGAACCTCAGAAATAACAGCTTATGCTCATACACTGAGCCCTTACATTTAAGTACCTCTAACATGAGATTCACTAGTACCTAATTTATTTAAACTAGTTGATAATCCACGGGATTTGTATCCTGTCCTAGGTTCTCGTGACCCATTAATTTGTTGGGCTCACAGCCTGCTGCTCTGCCGAGGGCCTTCCAGCCTACTCCGTGGTACGGACTCCTCCCTTAGCTAACGCTGCCGCGTTTCCCATAAACACGGGAGGGATGTCAGCAGAAAAAAAAAACCAAAAAAAAAAAAAACAACCAAAAACAGAACACCGGGGCCGGGGTGGGCACCACATCACCTCTTGGTCCCTTAGGGCCGTGAGTTTTACCGTCAGAACGACGCTTCGTAAAACATGACGTTTCATAAAACGCGTATAGCTAGGGAAAGCTGAGCTGCGGGGTAACGTGAAGGCGGAAAGATGCCCCGCCAGGAGCAGGGGCCGTGGTCCGGTGGGGCAGGCTCCCCCCGCCCCGCCGCCGCCCCCGGGGCTCGCCCGCAGCCCCAC